GCAAGGCCCTAGTAACAGCTACTGGGAAAGGTTGGAACCCTGTCATCTTCTATGTTTCGAGATTTGTTCATTTCTGATGTTTCATGCAGAGGGAAGGATGAGAAAGTAATCAGGCACCCTTCCCTTCATTCAATGTCTTGGCCCAGCCTTATCTATAGAGGTTTTTGTCAGCTATTTGCTAAGGTGATCTACAATTCATAAATACACCCCCTGTTTTAGTTGATCACTGAGTTCTCTGTTGATTTCTCACCTTGTGAATCTCTCTCTGTGTTTCCATTGCTAGTGACTCCTGTTAGTCGGATTCAAAATATCCATCTTCTTCTCAGGCTTCCGTTTATCTGCGTGTCTTTCTCTGCCACCTGCTAACTCCCTTAATACAAATATGATTATGTCACTGTTTTGCTCAGACTCTGTCAGTGGCTCACTTTCTGAAGCCAAGCCTGAAGTTGATTCAAACTCCTATGCAATTAAATCCCATTCTGCTTTGTCCCTGGTCATTCCCTCCTGCCCTGAAGTTTAGGTTCATTGCCCAGACTCTCTGACCACACTGTCATCTTTGGTTCTTTAGTCTGGAATGCCCTCTGATCCCTCACCATCTTCTAAAGATGGCCTTTCCTGTGGATTCTACTCTGCCCATTCTCAGGCTTTGGAACATGCCTCCAGTCTGGTCCCCACAACAACAGAAGTGAACAGTCAAGTACACAGACTCTGGAGCCACCTTGACTGCAGTTGAAGCTTAGCTCCACCACTTACTAGTATTGGTACCATGGGCAAGTCACCTCACCTATTACTTGATTTCTACACAGGGAAATCAGGGACATAATAGTACCTTCATCATTGACTTATTTTCTCATTAAGTTGTTAAATGTGTTAAGGCATTTTAAGGTTTTTGAACAGAGTAATTGATGTATAAATGCTATCTACTATTGAATTGCTAAATGCATCTCTTTCCTCACTGACCATGAACTCCTGGAAAGTAACAGCTCCCTCATTTGTGTCTGTTTCCCCAGGACCTGGTGCCTAGAAGGCACTTGGCACCTATGAATCAACTTCTTATTACCCTGCCACTTGCTTACTTTTTTCATTGGATTCACAAGTGAGCCAGAAGAATTCTTTTCAGTGAGCTTATGCTCCTCGGGGTGGGTCAGCAGCAGGTTCCAGTACCTGTGTCCAGACTGCCTCTAAACATGGTAGATTTGGCTGATTTGGCCAGGGTATTGTGTTCCTTTCCACCTGATTTCCTTATCTCTATGCCCTGTTCCCTGCTTCTCAGACATGCCATGAATGCAGGTATTTCTTGTTCTGCTTTATCCAAAGGGGTTCTGTAATTCAACACCCTTAACCTTGGTTGGAAACATGTCCTTTTTTCACTGTGAAAGCTTGGTCTGCTTGGCATTTAGAAAAGGAGAGTAAGCCAGGACTTTGGGATGCTGTCACAAGTGAGTGAACGGAAGAGGAAGAAAGAGAAGTGTCACAGTGAAGAGGTCACAAATATCAGGCAGCTTGGCCCTGCTTAGGCACATCTATGCCGGGCTCTTGTCTAGCTATCCAATTCCTGATTGTTTCTGCTGAGAAATATCAACAGCATTTGCAGCTGTGGACTTTGCCAGAGAAACATGTCCCATTATAAGCCCTTCCACTAAACATGCTGACAGAATTTAAAGAGAGTCTAGACAAGAAAGAGCACTCCAAAAGCAGAGGCCTGGGGTCGGGGGGAGGGGGGTGTGGAAGAGAATTTCAGGAACAAGGGTGGGAGAATAAAATGTAACTGAGTAATTCGTTTCAAGCAAATAGAGGACATTTATACAGACATCTAGGATAGTCTGCCCGCCTGGACTTCAACAGAGGAACCTAGCAGATGGGAAACAGAAGCAACCAATATAATTTTGTCATAACTCCTGTTCCCTGAAGCCCAAGGGATGGTAACCATCCTTCATCAATGCCAGGGCAAGGCTGTTGTTGGGTTGCATGGTGACCTTCCATACCACAACCCCAGGCTCATCCCTCTCACTTCTGCCTTCTTCCCATGTCTATAAAGCCTGGTGACTCCCAGATAAGGTAGAAGTACACAACCTTTAATCTCTCTCTCTCTAAAACATGTATTTATTTATTGTTGCCAAGATTTACAGAGAGACAGAGAGAAAGATCTTCAGTTGTCTGGTTCACTCCTCAATTGTCTGCAATGGCCTGAGCTGATCCAAAGCCAGGAGCCAGAAGCCTCTTCCTGGTCTCCCATGTAGATGCAGGGTCCCAAGGCTTTGGCTCATTCTCTACCACTTTCCCAGGCCAGAAGCAGGGAGCTGGATCAAAAGTGGAGCAGCTAGGACATGAACCAGTGCTTATATGGGATCCCAGTGCATGCAAGATGACTTCAACCACTAGGCTGCTGTACTAGGTCCTGATTTTTCTTTTGGAACAAGCCAATCCTTTTGTATCTTCTTCTCTTGGCACTAACCATATTATCCTGCGACCATGACGTCATTATTTACTTTTTCCTCTTCATTCTAGATCCATATTCCCATTCACTTCTCAGTCCTAGTTGTCTTCCCATCTCCCTTCTTTCTCATTTCTGAAGTCTTCTTACTTGCTTTCTTTCAGTTTCTTAGGCTCTCAGCCCTCCAGTGTTGGCCTGGTAGGAAGGAGCTGTGGCATAAGCCAGAGCCTGGCATTGCCCCATCACCACCCACAGTCCTTGGAGACAGCGAGTGGTGAGGAACTGTCCTGACAGCAGCAAGCCCAGGCCTCCGGCTGCTTCAGTTGGTAATTGCTTAGAGACCTGGGTCCGCCTAGAAGCTCAATTGGCAGAGAGCTCATTTATGTTCTGCATTATGTTAGCATTGAAATCTCATTCTGTAAGGCCATTGCTTCATTCACTCAAAATTTACCATGCACTTGCCACATGCCAATTATTAGGCAAGCAGAGGTGGAAGCAAGATCCAGTTCTTACACAGAAGTCACAAGTTGGTGAGCAATCTGCTGCTTTTTAAATAAACTGTAACACAGTGTGACAAGTATGAACTTAACAACAGGGCAGACTTGGGAGAAGAAAAATGGTTGCATGGACCATCCTTCCTCTTCAAGTGTTGACTGCATCTCAGTGGGTCATTTACTCGTGGCCATGATATAAATAAGCATTGATGATGCCAGGTTATTTTGACTACCTCTGAACAACAACCCACTTCCTTTCTCCTTGGGGCAATACAGCAAACAACAACCATCATTCAGCCTCATTCCATTGAGGTAGCTACGCAGAGGTCTCTAACTCATGTGGCTTTTCATACATTTGGCCCCCTTTTAACCGAAAGGCAGACCCAGTTATTTATTTACTATTTTTAATATTTCTCTCCCAAGAGTAGTTGAGTATATGGAAATGGGATGGGAAAAACTTTCCCTAAACAACCTCCTTTTGGAAGGGGTGGGTGGGAGGCTGCAGAAAAGATTACTGGAGAAATGGTGTAGGTCTAGAGCTAGAAGACTCAATGGATGGCTGGTCCTTTCTACTCGTGTGCTAGCCTGGTGCATCTGATCTCAGCTTCCTACTCTGCTAGAAGCATCCAGCTTATGGGGTCCTTGTGAAAACTGTATAGAAAATGAATATCAAGGGATATAGGCAGAGTTGTGACAGTTCTGAAAAGTAACACACTGTGGCTTTGGGAAAGCTACTTGGAATCCCTTGCCTCAATTCCCTCATCTGTCAAAGACTCACTTGGAATTCTGTTTAGCATTATTCCTTTTGCAAACCTCTCTGTGGACAACATGTTGGGGGTTCACAAGGTAAGGGGACAAGGCACACCCACATGACCCCAAAAGACCGTTAGGGCCATGAACATGAGCCCTCGGGACCTGGGGTCCCGCACAACTTAGTGGGGAGGCAGTGCTTGACCTGGGCTTTGTGGAATCAGCTCCATTTTGTCATTCCTTATAGAAAAACACCTTGCCCTGAGGATAAAGACCCAACTAAACACACCGGATTGTCCGTGAGCTGATGTTTTGATCCTTCTGCAATATTTGCCCCTCGCATTGGGGTATTTCCAGTTTCTTTAAAAATATGCAAGCCTCCCTCCCATTTTTGCACATGACAGCTCTTTTGGCCTGGAACTGTCTGTGGCCTTCCTCCCAACATTAGGAAACAGCCCGGCCCTGGGGTCAGACTGGAGGGTTTCCTGTGCTAGTTTTGCTACTTGACACACAGAGGAGCTCTTGCTGTGTTACTTAGTCCCCTGGTGAGTCAATGCCCTCATCTGCAAAATGGGGACAATAATGATGCCCACCTCAAAGGGTGGTTGGGAGAATTACCTGACGTCATGAATGCCATTCTGGCCCCATGGTAATTGCTGAATAAACAACAGCAGTTGTGTCTGCCTTCCTCCGACTTGCAATTCAGGTCTTACTTAGTCATCACTTCCTCCGGGAGCCCTCTTCTGGGGTCAAGTTTGCGCGTGCTTTCTCTTCTTGCTTGGTGGCCTACCGGACTGCACACTTCCCAGGGACTGGGGCCGGTTGGCTGCCAGGAGGAACATACAATAGACAATAAATACTCCATAAATGACACGGGGTGAAGGGTCCGGTGTTCCCCTGGGTGTGGCAGAGGCTGCGGGTGGGGTGGGTTAGAAGGGTGTGTGGTCAGCAAGGGGCCGCCGGGCTGAAGTGGGCAAGGGGACTTCAACTCCAAGGGCGATGCATGAGCCCATCCACGGGGTGCAGAGCCGCTTCCCTCCTCGGACTGACCCGGGGACGGCTCAGCGCCCTGAGCTTGAACGTCGCTCAGGTCTGGCCTGGCCTGCGCCCTGGGGCGAAAATGCGACCGGACGAGTCCGGCCCCCGCGCCCGGCTCCGCCCCGGCCCCTGGACCCGCCCCCAGTCCCGCCCCCGGCCGCTCCCGCCGCGCCCCAGCCGGAGCCGCGAGTGGCCCGCGGCTCTCCCACGCAGGGCGGGCCCCGCACGCTTATTCTGCCCGGAGGAGAGCCCTGCGCAGCCCTGCCGCCGACAGCCGCCGCGGGATGCTGCGCTCCACGTCCACCGTCACCCTGCTTTCGGGCAGCGGCTCCAGGGCGCCCGGGACGCCCAGCCGGAGGGTGAGTCGCTGGGGTGTGCGGAGCCGCCTGCTATCTCCGTCCCCACCCCTGGCCCCGACGCTGCTCCTTGGGCCCAACTTTCTAGCACGGGCCTCAGTTTTTACTCTGGAAGCCCCACCAGTTGGAAGGCTGGGACTTGGGAGCTTTCTGGAATTGCCAGGGACTTCCTCTTCTTCCCTTTTCCTCAGTGGAGCCAAGTTTATAGGTGCACCGGTTGGAAAAAAAAAAAACACACACAAGAGAAGTATTTCCACAGTGCTCCTACTTGAAGACCTAACGTTTTGCTATTGTCAGGGCATGATTCTGGAATGAGTTTAGGTTAGGTGGATATCACCTTTGCAAACTTCCAGGAACCTAGCTATGCAAGATTTGGGACATATGCAACTGCTTTCCTCTTTCTGATGTAAATACGGGGCGCAGCCACAGCAGCAGGTTTAGCCCTGGAAGCCTTGGCCAACGGACCCTAGGGCGGTTTCTAAACCAATCTGGCAGCGTCTGGCCCCCTCCCCAGATGCTCTTTGAGGAAACTTGAGGCCCGTGTAGCTCATGTCTTTCATGATCTCAATCTCTTCCAAGATCTCCCCCTCCAGATTATTGTTGAGACTTGGTGGGTGTGTGGCTGTCTTAATTCTCCCATTACCCTGGTTATCTGTAACTTAGCACTTGGCACTGAGACTAATGTCGTTGTGTGGTCCTGAGAAAACATGTGATTAGGTTCCAATTGAAATCCCCTTTGGGGGAGTCCCATATGTTGGCTGGTGTTGGGTACCCCTTTTTGCTTTTCCATTCAGTGCCTCGGCCAAGGCCATGTGGTGACCTTCTAAGCTATCTTTCTTTAGCTCTAAGAGGAAGGCATGGGTTCCAGAGTGGTGTGTGTGTGTGTGTACATGCCAGACACTTAAGGTCAAGGAGAACTCTAGTTGCCCGCTCTTAGCTTCCCAGAGCAAAATCCATATTAGGTCCAGGGGATTTTCCAACAACAGACTCAGCCCTGCTCCGAGATGAGCATTTGCCTTTTTCCCGTGGAAGTCTGTCTCAGCTGGAACACAGTAACACTGGAAGGCTAGCCCTGAGCCCAAATAGGGTATGCGTGTGACCCGATGGTGTGAATTACATGGAGTTCTCTGAGCTCTGGTCCAGATACAGGGAATTGCTGGGGTGGCAAGGGTGATATTGTGGGTGGATACAAATGTGACTAGTATGCTGGATAACATTTATGAGGATTTATTTCTCAAATATTTACTTTGGAGGTTTATTTTTAGTGGCAAGTGTTCTAGTGTCTGGCACATCATGACACAATCTTGGAAAGACCTTACCTTTCAAATAAGTTGGGAGAGATACTTCTACTGAAGCCCTCAGATTTTGCATGGCTGTTTGTGGCCTATCTACACTTGTCCTGAAAGAAATTAGCTGAAGGTTGTAGGGTTCCCCCCCATTGTGATGAATGCAACTTTGCTTATTATGATTTGATAGTATTCTGGGGTGGTGTGGAGAGAAGCTTTGGTTTATCAATTGATTAGTTGACTTAGTAAATGTTTATTGTTCTGTGGGGGGTAGAGATCTGACTTTAGGGCTTACATTGAAGCTGACACGACCATAGTCTCCTCTGGTTTAAAGTGAAGATTGTTCTAATGGGGCCAAGAGCTGACATAGTTCTGGGCAACCTAGAATAAAGGCCTCTGAGCTGGAGGGGATGCGTGAGTTTAGTTCTGCAGGATGAGTAGGAATTCGTGAGGTGACAGCCATTGGGGTGCTCCAAGGAAATCTCATTTGTCTAAAGGGAATAGTCAGTGTGTGCTGTATGATGGTGGTATAATGGGCTTGCTTTGGGGCCAAACATTTGTATTTTAGAAAAAATCAGATCATGACGTCTTGAAGCAGATCATCGTAGAGTAAAACCGGTAGTCACTACAAGTGTTCCTGGAGCCTGTATCATTCTCTCATTTCTCCCTGCTGGTGGAGGAGGAATGGTGAACAGTTCAACAGTTAGGCATTAGAATGAGACTTCTGCTTCATCCAAAGTGCTTATCCAGTCAGGGGCTGCAGGGGAGCCAGGCTATATTTGTTCAGATGTTGAAGCCAACAAGACATGGTGGTGACAGCGGACACTGAGCAGGGAGCTCTCTGAGTCAGCTGTCAAGTGCAGTATGGCCCAGTAGACTGTCACCAGTTAGCTTTTGTTCAGTGGCTGCCACCTGCAATTTGTACTTCCTTCTTATCTGAAATCATCTCTCAAGGGGGGAAAAAAAACAGGTGAGGAGAGTAGTTTCTGTAAGCTGATAAACAAAGCTCTGAGAGGCATTTATGGATGCCAACCAGTACAAGTTGTGATTTAAAAAGACAAAACAAAGCAAAACTATGCCTTCTAACCAGTTGTGCACTAAAAATAGTTTTATCTATGGCAACAGCAGGAAGATAAATTGGCTAGAGAATAACCACAGCTGAAGTGATGACCTTGGGGAGTGGGGGAAACATTTTTAAAAATATTGACATAGCTTCATGATTTTGATTTTGTAAGCATAAGTGAAGCTTGCTGAATGCGCCTTTGAAATGAAAGGTCAAATGTGTGGCCAAGCTGTGTGCTTTGCGGGGGAAGGTAAGTGCTGCTTTCTGCAGCCAAGCATTTTTGGGTAAGCCGTTCAGATAGGGTTCTAGGAGATGCTACATCTGTCAAGAATTTTCTCCCAGTATCATGTTCTGTCCATAATACAACTGTTGGCTGAGGTGGTTCCTTGGTGTATATAAACAAAACAAAGCAAAAACTGCAGGAAGGGGTCATTTCCTGACTTGCCTTTGCGTATATGTTGTTCTATTTGGCAAAGTCTGCTGGTTAAAAAGTAGAATGACCTGCCAGGCATCCCCTCCCAGGCCAGTGTCCCACCCTCCTGTGTCCTCTTGCTGTGGGATTGGCTCAAAATCAAGAATTCTCCTGAGCTGACTTGTGAATGGGTCAGACAGGTGTTCACCTTGGTTGTTTTCCCGGTAGATAGAAACATCTGTGTATGTAGGCTCTGAGGAAGGAACACAGGATGTTGTGCGACCTCAGCCTCTGGCATAAGGAAGCTGGCTGCAGCATCCCTGGGGGGGGAACAGGAAACATGCCTGCTTCTCACCCGGGTGATGGAGCCTGCCTCCGACAGGTCAGGTTTTGGGTTCTAGCCACTGAAAATAACAACAAAAACAAAAGTAGACCCCCAAGTAGATGGTAGGTAAAATATACCAGTCTTTACTGCTGTTCTTCTATCTTACTATGATCCTGTACCGTTCTGGGAACCACTAAGGGAACTTGATTTCTAGATTGTGCATGGTTGTTCTGCAAAGGGCATGGCTTGTGATTTTGACCTATTCCTTATCCCCAGGGCACTGAGGATGGGCTATGTATAAGGTTCCTATTCTGTTTGCACATATCATAAATACTGGGCATGCATGTCTATTTTTTTTTAAAGATTTATTTATTTATTGGAAAGTCAGACATACAGAGAGGAGGAGAGACAGAGAGGAAGATCTTCCGTCCGATGGTTCACTCTCCAATTGAGTGCAATGGCTGATGCTATGCTGATCCGAAGCCAGGATCCAGGAACTTCTTCCGGGTATCCCACGTGGGTGCGGGGTCCCAAAGCTTTGGGCTGTCCTCGACTTGTGTCCCAGGCCACAAGCAGGGAGCTGGATGGGAAGTGGAGCTGCCGGGTTTAGAACCGGCGCCCATATGGGATCCCGGGGCGTTCAAGGTGAGGACTTTAGCCACTAGGCCACGCCTCCAGGCCCATGCATGTCTAACCAAGAAACCTGGAAGTCACAGTTACCACCTGACTTCTGGTGACTTGGGAAACCCTTTTAAATCTCCAACGTTGTTGTCTAGTTGCATACAAGGAGCTGTGGCTCTGGAGCTGGCTCACGAGAGATGATGTTGGAGTGCTGCACGCCAAGATGACTTCAACCGTTACATGTGCTATGGGTCTTAAGAACAGCACTAGTGGGCTTGACATCATGGCGTAGCAGCTAAAGTCCTCACCTTGCAAACACTGGGATCCCATATGGGCACTGGTTCTAATCCCGGCGACCCCACTTCCCATCCAGCTCCCTGCTTAGTGGCCTGGGACAGCAGCTGAGGATGGCCCAAAGTCTTGGGACTCTGCACCTGTATGGGAAATATGGAAGAGGCTTCTGACTCCTGACTTAAGATTGGTGCAGCTCTAGCTCTTGTGGCCGCTTGGGGAGTGAATCGTCGGATGGAAAATCTTCCTCTCTGTACATCTAACTTTCCAAGGAAAATAAATCTTTTTTAAAAAAATATCATCACTGATACTTTTCCAACACATGGGAGTAGTACAATGGTGTTGACCTCTTTCCCTTGCTAAATGGGTGATGTTACTGAAGAGGCAGTCACTGCTGCCTCTTAGTCATTGCTGAAGACCGGAGTGAACCTGCTAAAATGCAGAATCTTCACCTGGCTCCCCTGCTTTCCGCACATCCTCACCACTGCCAGGTCTCTTCCCTGTCCTGTTCCACCTGCCCCTTTACTCTTTTGAGATGCTGCAAGTCACTTGCCATTCCTCGAGCCTCCAGTACTATTCCCTGCCACTTTGCCTTTATCTGCGCTTTCTCCTTTGATTAAGGTCCTCTCCAAGAAGGCTGCCCTGACAGTTTCCTGTGTTCCCCAAAGAAGCCCATGCACCCCACTGTTGGCCTGTGACACTTGTGGCTAACTACTTGAAGAGAAGGTTCAGGGGCCCTTTCTCCACAAGTCTGGTGGGTTAGGTGCTTGAAAAGAGGAGTGTCACCAACAAACTAAAGAAGACACACTTAGTTGTGGATTGGCAAATGGGAAAACAGGAAGAGGCTTGGGATGGGGCCACCCCGTCACCTCTGAACCACCTGGGTAGGAAACAGGTGACACACAGTTGGGAAAGCTGCCTCAGGTGAAGAGTTTGACAGTTCTGGGAAGGGCTCCAAATGTTCCAGTTGCCTCATCCTGTTGCACAGCTGGAGTTTCATTCCTGTTGTGAGGTCCATGGTTCCTAACCCTGGTCCTCAGTGGAATCACTGGGAAGCTTGAAATGGCTGTGCCCAGGCTGATTCCATGAGAGCCTCTGCAAATAAAGACTAGTGTCAGCATGGCTCAGAAAGCTTCCCAGGTAGTAGATTAAGGGGCAGTCTGAGATGAGAATACTGTTGAGATGAGAAGTACTGCTCCACCCTTGTGGCTTTGTTGAAAGTGTGACACCCTGGGGATGTGGCTCTGGAAATGTTCTGGGGGCCTTGTGGGAATAAGGACAAGGTTGTGGCAGAGGCAGGCCAGTCAGAATGCTTCGGTTCACTCTGGTGTCTGTGTGCCATCACCCACCTTTGCTTCTTCTGTGGATCCTGACATTTCAGGCACAGGATATACCTGCTGCAAGGGTGAGTCAGAAAGTAGGGGAGAGGATCACTACTCCTATTTATGAATTTTGTCTGGAAACAGCCTCAACAGAGGGGCTCTAGGACACTTTATATAACACCTGGAAAAAGTGTCGTGGGGATGGAGATCAAGGATGGCCAGCTACTTACTACCCCAAGGCCCAGTCTGGTCCTGGCCTTTGATTTGTCTGCCTCTGAGCTAAGAGTACTTCTTACACTGGTGTGCACCTACTGAGTGTTTACACTTTGACCTTTTACAGAAAAATTTTGCCCTGCCCTGATATAGATCACCATAGTGCAAGTTCAGGGCCATAAGATCTAAGAGGCCTAATCTAGATGGATCACGCTCTGCTCCCCACGCAACCTGGCCTGCAAATTGGAGTTTTGATTCTTGTGGTGATCAGAAACAGTGTGCCATCTGTCCCCTGGCCACACCCACAGGACCGGGCCACACCTCTGTCCTGGGGGAATGCTGGCCAGTGACTCAGACTCACCAAGCCAACTGGGCCTGAGCCATATGTAAATGTATTTGGCTCATTTCCTTAGGAAAATCCATCTCTCTAAACAGACTAGCAAATCCCCGTCACCTCCCTAGGTCATCTTCTCTTCTTTTTATTTGAGGTGGATGTTTTTCCTTTGAGTGAGCCCAGGTGCAGAAGCTCAGAGCATGATGGATATGGATCCCCAAGTATTCGCAAGGTGAGAGGCCCAGGTCCCCTGCTTCCACAAAGGGGTCAGAAGGAAGGTCCCAGGGGACCCACTGAGCTCCCTGGGTGCCATGGGTTGCAAACAATAGTTCGGTTGTGCCTTTTCATGCAGAGGAGCTTTGGATGTTATCTACAGCTCCCCTGCACAGCTCCCGGGGGTTTGGTTTGAAGAGTGGGAGATTCTCTAGGGAGTTTCAGATATATTCTGCTTGCTGGTTTTTAGTTCAGCCTACTAAATCCTACACTGACATTTATGGAACAAGCACTCCTCATACATTGAGACTCTGCTAAGCACTAAATAAGGTAGTAAAAGCCAGTAGGATGTTCAGTAGTGTAGGGAGCATAGGACATGCCCATAACTATTGGATTGAGCTTTTGAAAGTGAGCTACGATTTTAATGGTTCTCCATCATTTTCTAAATCAGAACCCGTGTTTTTCCATCCAGGCATTAGTAGATAGAGTTTGGTCCCTGCTCTTCCCCCTGCCACTTCTAGCTTGGACTTGGTCCACTTTCTGTTCTCTGAACATGCCAATATTTGTACCTTTGGCTGGCTCGGAGTGCCTTGCTCTGTAGTTGTATTGTGCTAAAGGCATTGGAGTCTCCAAACCTCACCGTGCTGCCCAGTCCTTTGTGCCCTTCCAGCTCAAAGGTCATCTCTGGGAGCCTTGCCATCTACTCCTAATTAAGATTAGTGATATCCTCCCTGTATTCACATACTAATAAATAACACAGAGGACTTAATATATGCCAGGAAACTTCTAAGATCATTATACAAATTAGCTAATTTCATCTTTGCAATAATCTTAAGGTAACTGAAACATTGAAGATAAAGTAATTTTTCAAAGTCTTTTGTATGCATATGTTTCCTGGTATTTAAGGGAATTAGTTCCAGAACCCATGATAGATACTACACCTGGGATACTGAAATCCTTTATGTAAAATGGTGTAATATTTACATATACCCTACATGTATCCTTCCATATACCTTAAGTCATCCCTGGATTGCTTACAGTGCCGGATAAAATGTAAATTCTGTGTAAACAGTTGTTATTCTGTGTTGTTTAGGGAATAACGATAAGGAGGAAGAAGTCCGTACTTGTATGGATATAACTTTTAATACTGAATATATATCTATTCATATGCATATTTAAAGATTCATTTTGTTTGTTTGAGAGAGAGAGGAAGAGAGTGATCTCCCATGTGCTGGTTCACTCCCCAAAGGGCCACAATGACTGGGATTGAGCCAGGCTTAGACCAGGAGCCTGGAATTTCATCCCCAGTCCAAGTACTTGGAGCCATCATCTGCTGCTTTCCCAGGTGCATTAACAAGGCATTGGATCAGAACCAGCAGTCTGGGCTCAAACTGGTGCTCTGATATGGGATGCTGGTGTGCCAGGTGTCTTACTTGCTGTGCCATGCAACAGTGGCCCTCTGAATGTATCTTTTCAATTTTTTCTTTGTGAGAAAGATTCCCCATCTACTAATAATTCACTTTCCAAATGCTCACAATAGCCAGGGCTGGGCCAGGCTGAAGCCTGGAGCCAGAAACTCATGCCCCATCTCCCCTGTAAGGGAGATAGTAGGGACCCAACTACTTGAGTTATCACTTATCTTCCAGAATGTGTATAAGTAGGAAGTTGGAATTTTCTAGACGAGGAGCTAGAACTCTTCCAGAAAATTCTCCCAGCTATTCCAGTATGAGATCTGGATTTCCCAAGCAGCATCTTAACTGCTAGGCAAAGCACCTGCCTCTTTTTCTGAATATTCTTTATCTTCAGTTATCTGAGTCCACAGATGAGGAAGGTGTGTCAGCTGAGTCTGTTGGAAACCAGGAAGTATAGTTCCATTGGCTGTAGCCATCCTGCCTCTGAACACTTTACACTGGTTGGGCCCAGGGTCCTGACTGCCTTGTTTGGATGTATTTCCACATTTTGAATTCCTGGGGGCATAGACATTTCTTCGTTGTCAAAGTACCCTCATAGTCCTCCAAAAATATTTTACAAATAATGGGTGTCTGGTAACTGAGTCATGAATTATGCTGAGTCCAGCTTCCTGTTCTGATCTGCTGGAGGGATTCCTTGCTTTTAAGAATGGCTGGTCCAGTAGCTATAGGGTTTAAGGTAAGTGAGATGCCCTGCTTAAAACACAAGGGCAGAACTAGCTGCTGAGGAAACTCACTGAGAAAAGAAGTGCCCTACTTGATTCTTAGGTACTTCCTAGCCTAGGGTAGCTCTGGATATTGTGTATCCAAGTTTCAGGAATCCATAGTGATCAGCATCATAAATACTTAGATATAGGCAGTAGGACTTTGATTTTGGGGAGATTTTCCCAGGGGGAGTTTGCTGAAGGTGAATGAATAGATGGATGCAGGCTCTGTGGGGTCAACTTGAAAGGTGAGTTCTTCAGGGATTGTTTCCCTTGGTGCTTCTGTTAGGAATCTAGAGAACCTTCTAGACCTCTGTCTAGTATGTCCTGTTCCTGAGGAAGCCTATCTGTTTCTGACACATTCTCTGTCAATCTTTATTATGGCCTTTGCTGCTTTATCGATGATGGGAAAATCTAGCACATATTCAGAAACAGTTGCAAACTCCACAGACATCCCAGAGATAAACACCATCAATAGTTGGTTGTGTTTCCTTGATACTATTTTTCCCTTATTCTGCACAACTTATCAGTGTGTTCAAAAAACAAAAGCGGAATTCTTAACATTTTGTTCTGCAATTTTCTTTTTTCTCCCCCATAAAGATACATGTGGCTGTCTTGGTAGGAAGGAGTGTGATTCTGTTCCATGCTGGATTTCTGTGTTTCTGGATAGCTGGCGCGTCAGTGGATAGGTTCCTTCGTGCTCCTTTGTGCCTCCATCAAATCACCCATCTTGCTTAAGACAGGACCCTGGGGTGTGGCCTGGAGCACTTGCTACAGCTGCTAAACTTACAGCTGCTAAACTTTATTTATTTATTTAAATTGGAAAGTCAGGGTTATAGAAGAAAGGAGGCAGAGATAGAGTTAAGAGATATAGGGGTAGAGGATTAGAGAGAGAGAGAGAGAGATCTTCTGTGCAGGTGCATGGCATCTTCCATCTCAAATGTCTTGCAACAGCCTGGCATTTTGTGTTTTAATTATTCACTTCTCATGGACATTTGGGTTGATATTCCCTAATGTGAATAATGCTGATGTGAATTTTTTTTTTAAATTTTGTGATTAAATATGTTCATGCCTTTTGTTGAAAAACTGTTAGGTTGTAAATACCCTTGCATTCTAGTCATCTAAAATTTTACCACTGTGTGTCTTGGCATCCATCCTCCCAGCTGTAATTCCGTGTATGTTTGTGAAATGACATGGTTCTACAGAACATGATCATTTAAGAGATATTTACAGTCCATGAAGTCCTCAGCAGCTTTCTCATTTTGGGGTCACAGGCTATGCTGACCCAGGTGCAGCTGGGTCTTATCCTGCTGTTTCTTTTGTGATTGGGACAATGGCTCCCTTGGTCAAGTGGCAAGAACACTCTATGGGAAGCTCAAGGTCATGGTTTGTTTGGCAGCTAACCTGCCTTTCTTTCCTGTCTCTTACAGGCCAATGTCTGTAGGCTACGGCTGACCGTCCCTCCGGATAGTCCAGCTCCTGAGCAAACTGAAAAAAAGATCGAGAGAAAAGATCAGGTAAGGCACCTCTGAGGCAGGGCTCGCCCAAGTTCCGATGTCTAAGCCGTGCTCTCTCAGGCCCTCACTAAGCAGGCCCTCACTAAGCGGAGCAGAGGGTCGGCAACTTCCTGGCTCCTCTCCCCTCTCCCTTGAAGTTGCTGGCCTCCCCAGCTGTGGCCCTGCTGCGCTCCTGCTCTTGTTTCCTGGGGAACACTGCGGCTCTGTGTCTCCTCAAGGCTACAGGGACACTGGCCTTCGTGACAGGTGCAGGGCACATGTTTGTTTTTTTTCCTGAAATAGCCCAGTGTGACTGAGTCAAAGGGCCCTTTGTGAGCTGCCACCATTGGGGCCAGAGCCTTTCTCAGGTACTCAGAATAGGGCTGGGAGCTGGGTTCTGCAGGCGGGAGGAAAAGCCCTATGAGCCACTCAGAGCTGGAAAAGGACACTTCTCTGGGGGTAGGAGTACAGCAAACACCTGTGTGTCTGCCCCCGTGCCGAGTGCTGGGGAGATGAGGCCGCCTTTACTCAGGGGAGCTTGTGGAATTCCAGGTAAAGCAGACTTATCAATTAACAGTGGTGACATGGTATTTAGAGTGTTGGGATCTGTTGATACAGGATGGGCTCCAAGAGCCCAGGAAAGTGAATCCCTGAGTGCTGGGGAGGTGACACAGAAGCAGAGGCTTAAAGGATACATAGCAAAACCTGGTTGGCTCTAGCCCTGTGGTCCTGGCCTCACTATTTTATTTATTCACAAGCAATTATGGGGGCATCTATTGAGTTCTGGGTACTGTTTTATATACTAGAATAAGATAACAAGCAAGATAATTAGGTGTATTTTAAAATTATTTTTAAAAAAGATTTTTAAAAATTTAAAGATTTATTTATTTATTGGAAAGTCAAATATACAGAGAGGAGGAGAGGCAGAGAGGAAGATCTTCCGTCCAATGATTCACACTCCAAGTGAGCGCAACGGCCGATGCTATGCCGATCCGAAGCCAGGATCCAGGAACTTCTTCCTGGTATCCCACAAGGGTGCAGGGTCTCAAAACTTTGGGCCGTCCTCAACTTGTGTCCCAGGCCACAAGCAGGGAGCTGGATGGAAAGTGGAGCTGCCGGGATTAGAACCGGCGCCCATATGGGATCCCGGGGCGTTCAAGGTGAGGACTTTAGCCACTAGGCCACGCCGCCGGGCCCAATTTAAAAAAAATTTTATTGTAAAGGAAAAGTTACAGAGAGAAGGAGAGACAAAGATCTTCTGTCCGCTGGTTTACTCCCCAAGTGGCAGAAGCAGCTGCAGTTGAGCTGATCCAAAGCCAGGAGCCAGTAGCTTCTGCTGGGTCTCCTATGTGGGTGCAGGTTCCTAAGGCTTTGGGCCTCTTCAGCTGCTTTCCCAGGCTGCAAGCAGGGAACTTAAGGGAAGTGGAGCAGCCGGACACAAACCAGTGTCCATATGGGATTCTAGTGTGAGGACTTTAGCACTAGGCTACCATGCTAAGCCCTTAAAACGATTTTTAAAGATTTGTTTATTTGAAAGGCAGAGTTACAGAGAGATGTAGAGACACACACAAACATCTTCTGTCTGCTGGCTCACCCCCCACATGGCCACAGTGGCTAGAATTGAATTGGTCTGGGTCACTCTGAAGCCAGCAACCCGAAGCTTCTCCGTTTTCCATGGATGTGGGGGGAGGGACAGGTGAGGAAAATGGAAGGCTATTTTTTTTCAAAGATTGTTTTATTGACTTAGAGAGAGAGAGAGAGGGAGAGAGAGAATAGACCTTTCATCTGCTGGTCCAGAGAAAGTGAGAATTAGACCCCTCATGTTCTGGTTTTCTCCCCCAGGTGGTCACAACGACTAGGACTGGAACAAGCCAAAACCGGGAGCCAGGAGCTTCATCCTGGTCTCCTACATGGGTGGCAGGGACCAGATACTTGGGAAGTCTTCCTCTGCTTTTCCAATGCCATCAGAAGTAGAGTAGCTAGGACTAGAATCAGTACCCATATGGGATGCTGACATCATAGAGAGAGGCTTTACCTGTTATGCCACAACACTGGCTCCAAGAGAAGGTTCTTCTTTATAGAATACCAGCTAATTAATTTGCAATACGTTTTTAAAGTTTTACACTTATTTTTATTTATTTAAAGGGCAAATAAGAGAGAGAGAAGAGAGAGAGAGAGAGAGTATGTGTGTGTGTGTGTGTTTATTGATGGCTTGCTTCCCAAATGCCTACAATGTCTAGGCTGAATCAGAAACTTGAAACTCAATCCAGGTTTTGCATGTACACAATGGGGACTTAACTGCTTGGGCCATCCACCTGCTGCTTTCTGGGTGTTAGCAGAAAGCTGGAAATGGAGGTGGACCCAGGACTTGAGCTCAGGCTCTCTAAAATGTGATGTAAACTTGTCAAGCGGTTTCTTAACTGCTTGCCGTTTGACATTGAAAATTTATTGTGTGCCTGCCAGATAGATTTATCAATGGAGGCAAAACTGATTGGCTAGGGCCCAGCATGGTAGTCTAATGGCTTAAGTCCTTGCCTTGCACGTGCCAGGATCCCATATGGGCACTGGTTCTAATCTTGGCAACCCCGCTTCCCATCCAGCTCCCTTCTTGTGGCGTGGGGAATTGCTTGAGGACGGCCCAAAGCTTTGGGATCCTGCACCCATGTGGGAGACCTGGAGGAAGTTCCTGGCTCCTGGCTTCAGATTGGCACAGTTCCAGCCATTGCATCCCTTGGGGAATGAATCAATGGATAGAAGATCTTCCTCTTTGTCTCACCTCCTCTCTGTATATCTGATTTTCAAATAAAAAAACATTTTAAAAAAGACTGATTGGCTAGAGATTATTGTAGAATAGGATATTTATGTGGTCTCTAAGCATCGCTTTACTACAGTATAGCTTGCAGTGGAGCAGCCTGGTAGCCAGCGTTTCCACCAAGTGGTCCAGAGGCGCATGACCCACATAGAGCAGCCTGATGCTCTGTAACTTCCCAGGTGATGTGACTAAATAGCACCCAGTGTCACCTGTGTAGCATGTAGGGCACTCTGGTTCAAATGGATCTAATGGCAAGGGAATGGAAAAATCCACAAGGTGGAATTGGCTTGACCTCCTGAATAAATTCAATGTTATTATTTTTAAAAAGATGAATATCCATTGCAGATAGCGATTAAACCTCACTTGTAGTGAGTGGGCCTTGATTATATATTGGGTCTAAAGAATTTAGAATGGTGACATGTGATAGTTGTACAAATGGACTTAGATACTGTACAATGAGAGTTAATTGCCTTCTGATAATAGTATTATGAGGTTGCAGTTGGGCTATTCTTGCTGCCTTGCTGGAGCTTTGAACAGTCTCTAGAGAAAGGATTTGGGTGTAAAAGCTTACCACCACAAGGAGAGTGGGAATGGTCAGGTTTTGGCCACTGGATCTTGGACTGAATGATGTCCTCTGGTATGTGGAGGCTTCATTTGAGAAGTGGAGTTGGGTTGTGTTTAGGTGGTTGCTTAGAACACCTGTTAATGAGGGTCCTGAGCACCGGTTCTAATCCCAGCAGCCCTGCTTCCCATCCATCTCCTAGCTTGTGGCCTGGGAAAGCAGTAGAGGATGGCCCAGAGCCTTGGGTCTCTGTACCTGCATGGGAGATTCAGAGGAGGCTCCTGGTTCCTGGCTTTAGATTGGCGCAGCTCTGGCTGTTGTGGCTGCTTGGGGAGTGAGTCAATGCATGGAGGATCTTCCGCTCTGTCTCTCCTCTCTGTATATTGGACCTTGAACTGTAGCAAGTGGCAGGCTGGGGCTTTGGTGGCTGTACATGACAGAAGGACTGAGGAATGTGGTCTGTTGGAGTCAGGCCCATGCTATGTGCCAGGGAATGTTTCTGAGCACTGAAACCAGGAAGGGAAAGGCCTGTGTAGGTCCTGTCACTACTGAAGAAGCGTCAGGTAAACCCAGGAAGATGCTCATGTATTTAACTAGGCCCAGTGGATTGTGTGCCAATTTGCCTATCTGTCTGAAACAATGCTTTACTTTGCTAATGCAGTAGGATGACCTCTCCCACCCTTAAAACATAAGAATATTATACTGAACCCTCTTATGTAAACCAGGCAGAAGTGGCTGTGGGAGTATGTTTTCTGTCTCTTCACCACCCCAGACACTCTCTTGTGTGCCCCTGAGAACTCCAGGGCTTTGAGGAGTGTGGGAGAGAAGCCAGCAGGGTAGAGGACACCCCAATACTGGCTGGACCAGGTGAGCTGTGTTAAGTGCCTGCCTGCAACATGTCCATGACTCACTGCCCAAGAACTGGGGTGGAGAGGAGGAGAGTGGGTGGGGCTGGTTGTTTCCCCCAGTCTTGAGTATTTTGGGTGGGGACAGCCCTTGGGGACTATGAGACTCTTCTGGGTGATTCTGTCACTGGGTCCTGACTGGATACCTGGTTATGAGTCACTGAGAGCCAGAGGTCACACACCAGCAGGGATTTCCTGGGGGGACCACTTCCTCTGATGTAGCTTTAGGGTGCTTGGCTGTCCTTCCCTAGAATTCATGAAGTGTCAGAAAGTCTGAGTGAGCGTCGCTGGTTGGATAAGTCTGCTTCCTTTGAAGGTGAGTGGTGGGGATCCTTGGTGTGTGAAGACCAAGGCACCAGTTGTTCAGATGTGCAAGCAGAAAGGGCACCCAGGGCCCTCTTAGAGCTGCAGCTGATTGAGAGTAGGGCTAAGCCCTATTCTCTAATGCTCTCATGGAAGTCACTTAGCTTGTTTAGAGGAAGGGGGATGTCGTGGAGCAGCTGGCTATTCTCAGGTGCCACTAGAAACCAGGCATCCTGTCAACTGTTGGCAGTCCCCTGGGAGAGGAATCCCTCACAATGGGAGTGTGTCACAGGTGCTGTGTTTGGCCCAGCTCTCCTGGATGTGTTTGGAGGTTGATTGAGGCAGTTACAAGTGAGTGGGCGTGTTTTCATGGTGCTATGAGTTCCTGTCATGTATTTGAGAGGTTACCAACCCCTAAGACAGGTGCCCTGACTGCCTG